CTATCCTAACCATTTTGAATACACAGATACGAAATGGTCATTCATCTATATCCCTTTTGTTTAGTTCCATCATTTAAATATTATAGGTGTTTGAACTCAGCAAAATATTCCAAAATAGTCTAGTAGTCCATAATAGTATTGGGTCTTCCACTCGACTGGCAATGTCAGAAATTGTTGACCTGAGTCCTCTACAGCTCAGCATAACAACATGGCTTTATTGTACTTCGTTTTTATACTTTTCTGGACAAGTGCTTGTTGTACCGAGCCATCTTCCCAGTCCCCCATTTTACTTCTTAAAGCTAGAAACCTGGTTGCAGCGTCAGAGCTGGGTCTGGTGGTGCATGCCTGTAATCCTAGCACTGGGAGGGTAGTTAAGACAGAAGGATTGCTGGGAGTTTGAGACAAGCCTGGATACATAGTATAGTGAGTTCAAGGCCAACCTCAACTACTTAGTGGGACTCTGTCTCAATAAAACCAAAACCCAGTAGCTTCTGGCAACATTCAGTGATTTATTGTGGTTTACCTGACAGTTTGGATTTATTCTCTTCAGACTTATCTCATTGGCCGTTCATAGTGATAGCTGAGTTGAGCCAGGAGGAATGAAGGAATGGAGGAATGGTAGAGTGGTAGAATGGAGCATTCTACCACGGAACTCACCAGCAACCAAGCTTTACATGGAAAGGCTAGGAGATGCTTCCTTACCAAGGGATCCTGCTGACTCAGTAAGATCTTTTTGTTGAATGTACAGTAGTGGGGAAAGATTCTAACAGTTGTGAACAAGCTAATTGAGAGCTTCCAGGGAAGGAGACATGGCAGAGGGACCTCTGGAAATGGTGGGAAGGCTTGTGAAACAGTCTTGCTTGGAAAGCTTTGTTTAAACTGTTCCTTTGTTGATAGACCTTGAGTTGTTTCCACATTTTGATTACTGTGAATAATGCAACTAATAACACTGGAGTACACACATCTGTTTGAGTTCCTGTGTGAGTTCAACTATTTTGGAAATATACTTGGGTGAGAAAAAGCTAGGACATATGGTAATTCTATGTTTAGCTTGCTTGCTTGCTTGCTTTTTTTTTTTTTTTTTCCAGTACTGGGGATTGAACTCAGGACCCTGCACTTGCCAGGCAAGCACTCATTCTACTGAGCTATCTCTCTGGCCCTGTGTTTAGCTTTTTGAGGAATTGCCAACCCTACTATTTTCCACAGCAGCTGCATCCTCCCTCCAGGGCCTCCCCCCACCCCCCTGTTAGAGGAATTTGAACTAGGAGCATTCTACCACTAAGCTCCATCTCCAGCCACTTGTATTTTCTTATTTTTTGAGACAGAATCTCACTGAATTGCTCAGGTGGAACATGAACTTGCACT